AGCCACTGACCATAGATCACGCACTTTTGTGCCCGGCATCATGTCTTTACTTGATTTCAGATAGAGAGCGTGCCATTCTTGACAATGTGGATGGACCTGGAGGGGGGATTGTGCTCAGTGAAGTAAGCCAGACAGAGAGGGACAAACGCCATAGGATTTCACTTACATGTGGAACCCAGACACGCACAAAAATGAACGAACAAGGAAGCAGAAACACCCACAGATATGGAGCCCAACTAGTGATTGTCAGAGGAGGCAGGTGGGGGATGGCGGAGGTAAGTGATGGGGATTAAGAGGTGCAGACCTCCTGTTCTAACATAAGTAAGTCAGGGGGATGAGCGGTAGGGCCTGAGAAACGCTGTCGGTAATACTGTAACACACTTATTGTGGCGAGAGTTCAGGGTGTGTGTGACGGTGTGTATCACTGTGCTGTATACCTGAAACTAATACCACGTGCCAATCATACTTCAGATAAAAATGAAAAACATTCAAAACCAGTAGAAACAAACAACAAGAACAACAGAGCCATCCTGAACGCAAGGTGTCGTGTGAAGGATGACGCCCGTGCTGGCGCCAGCCCCCAGTGAAGGCCATGCCGCGTGAGGGCACATGCGCTCACCGTGGGTCCTGGGCCCACCCGCTCTCCTCTCCTTTTCTTTATCTTTTCTGAAGATCGTGTTTTCCAGTTTTGCTGTGATTTGTCCGAGGTTCAGCCATGGTTTTGAATTATTTTTTAGACACTTTTTTAGGGGATTGCCCAAGTACTCTCTGACTTGCATGGCCTCACCCCAGATAAAAGGAGTCCATGGGTATGAGCTTAAACCCGAGTGAGGAGGGCTGTGCTGGGGAAGTTGTCCTCGACAGGCGCCTCCCGTGCCTCCTTACGGCTTGGTGCTTCCTTGTCGTTAGGAAGAAGGCTTGCTCACTGAGCATATAGACGTGAAGTCATTCAGGGCATTAAGCTGACCCCTGCCCGTGGGCTCGTGGTGGCCCGTGTGCCTGAATGAGAAGGTGTAAGTCCTCAGCCATCCCTCTTGGGACTGCTGACTGCATTTCCAGGCCGTGTGCCGGTGGGGTCAGAGCTGGGTCTCTCTCTCTCTCTCTCTCTCTCTCTCTCTCTCTTTCTTTCTGCCTGCTGCCGCGTTGGTGCCCCCGTGCACATCCTCCCAGTTGCTCCCATCCCCAAGAGCACTGCTGTCCCCAGTCTGCATGGCTTCCTGACGAAAGCAACAGCCTCAAGGCATGATGGCTGAAGCCAGTTACATAGCTGGACTCAGAGCCAGGGCAGCTCCTGGGGCACCAAAGCAGAGGGCCCCTCCAACGCTTCACATAACGCAGCGGGTTTTGGCAGGTGGAGAGCTCACACATCAGGACTCAGCTCTGGGAAAACAGGTTACCGGTCACACATTGCCCTCCCCGTCCTGGAAGGGAGGACAGAGGAGGGGGTGGTGATGCTTAGGGGCTGTGCTCCCTGTGGTTTGGGGAAATAATCCTTGGCTTCTGGACTTGGCATTCTGGCTCCGGGATTTTGAGCTGAGTGATCCTAGTGAGTTACTCAGCTTCTTGGTACCTGAACGTTATCATCTGTGGGAAAGGAGGGATCCTGCCCTCAGGATGCTCCCAGCATTGCGTGTCGCAGGCACTGGGGGTAGAGGCTCTTGTAAATTCGGGGAGCAGTGGTTTGTGGATGTGGCAGCAGGCTTTGCCATCCCTGGCTCTGCATCCCATGCCAGTTCTGCACACAGCATGAGCAAAAGCTGACTTCCCGTTAGGTGCTCTGCCTGAGCAAGAGAGCGCCCAAGAAAGCTAAAAACAAAACAGCAGCGCTGAGTCTGTCCCCCAGATGCGGGGCGGCCAGCTCTGTGGCATGTGGCTGATGCCCACAGAGCTTCCGCGCATCTGTAAGAAAGCAAATCACACTCCTCTTTAGGAGTGTTGTCATTGATCAGATGAATGTATGTGCACAGTACTTAGCATGGGGCTTGGCACAGAGCAGGTGTCCAGGACATTTAATTTCCTTCTGCCTTCTGTATTGTGGGCACACCTGACTTACAATTTCATCAAGGGTGGAGGGGGATGATGCAGTCTGATGCTTACTTCGTCAGAAATTGTTCAAACAAGCTCTTCAGGAAGGCACACAAATCTCACCCCAGTGGCCACAGCATCCAGTGTGTGTTCTGACCCTGAGGATGTGGAGTGCTGGCTGGACTCTCTCCCTCTGTGTTCAACAGCAAGAGCCTGGGATCCAGAATGTTTCCAGACCCATTTCAAAGGTGAAAGTTACTAGTTGATTTTGGGTTACCCGGTGATGAACTGAAATTGGCCTTTTTAGTGAAACCTAGGAAATATTCTGACCTTTTGCTTGAAGAGAACACTCGTTTGCTTCAGTCTGCTTTCAAGGTTGGGGACTGGGTAGAGCCCTTGCTGACTGGGAAATTAGAGGCGCTCTTGATGCACACATAGACACCTCACAGGGGAAGAAAAGTATGGACGAAAAATGGCTAATAAGCTTCTGAAAAAATGTTCAGTCTCAGGAGCGATTCAGACCTGCCAATTAAAACATCAGTGAGGTAGCATTTCGCCTCTTCCTAGTGAAGACTGAGAATCCATCATGGCCAGTATGGGAGGGGTGCAGCATGTGGGGCACCACCCTTGCCGCCCGGGCACGCGCGTAGGTGAGAGCCTGTCTGAGAAGGAGCTCGGTGCTCCGCCCTACTGGCCTTGACCTTTTCCGCCCTCTGGATTCAGTCTCTGCTTTGAGATATGGGCTCCACACACAGCATAAATGCGGACAGGAAATTGAAGCACAAAGATGTTTAGGACTTTTGCAATAGTAATATTTTAAATAATTGGGAAATCTCTGAAAGTCTGAAAGTAGGGTGATAGGTAAGCGTTGGTATGGCCGCACGACGGGACATCCTGCAGACTGATTTTTGGTGATGTGGAAGTGTTCATAGTGCACTGAAAGCAAAACAAGGGGTAAAGGGCGCTTGGGGGGGGGCTCAGTCAGTTAAGCGACTGACTCTTGATTTTGGCTCAGGTTGTGATCTCCGTGCTGGGATCCAGCTCCTAATCAGGCTCCCTGCTCAGTGGAGAGTCTGTTTATCTCCCTCTCCCTCTGCCCCTCCCCTTGTGCTCGCTCTCTGTCTCTCTGTCTCTCAAATAAATCTTAAAAAAAAACAAGCTGTAATGTAGGGTATGTATATATTTATGTGTGTGCACATGAATAAAATGAGATGTATAATAACTTAACACATACAGATAGAATCATTTGAACTACACTGAAATACAAATACTTAGGAAAAGGATTCTAGAATTAAGATATTACAGTTAGAGTATAGGCTTGAGTCCTTTTTACTTTTTTATGCTTTTTGCTATTTTCCCACCTTTTTCAGTAAGCCTGTCTACTTTTACAGTCAGAAAGGAGTCCATGTAGCTTTCAGACGGAGTTCTTGTTACGAAATGCCCCATATTCTCTGCTGACACTGGGTCTCTCGTTCTCTGGGGCAGCTGAGCTCCGGACACTGCCTGGCCGAAGGCCATATACTTATGGGCAGCTCAGTAGTTTGCTCCAAGCTGCTAGGTTCTCAGGATCTCCACTTGGGCTACAGTTTTACACGCAGACACCCTTAGTTAAAGAGCGGTCCCTCCTGAGTGGTTCAGGGAATGGCCCCAAAGGCCACTTAGAACGTGCTGGGCTTGGCTGAATGTTCTGGCCACAGCACTGTCTGTGATAAGGCTGCACGCCCGCTCTGATCCTCTGACTGACTGACTCTCTGTCATCTTTAAATCGGAGCCAGAACTTCGGGGGCCTCATGTGAAGAAACCCCCTTCCTCCCCCTCTCCTTTCATCCCATGCACATACCGCACCTTTATCAAGTACCTCCTGCATGCTCGCTTCTGTGCTAAGACGCAGGGTTTCGAGCATCAGTGAGACACAGCCTCTGCCCATGGGAAGGTCACGGTCAGGAGTGGGGGCAGGCTGCAGGCAGCCCATCAGAGCGCCCGGGCCCAGGTGCGGTAGGGCCTGGGGGTGCAGCCGAACAAGGACGAGGTACAGAGGTTGGGCAGCTGCGAGGCGGGAGAGGCGAGCATTGGCCCAGGGTGTTGGGAAGGTCCTTCATCCACTTGTTCATTTGTTCAGGGGCTGCATTGCCGTGGCGTGCAGGCATTACCCAGGCCTGGGCAACCGTGGCATGGCCACGCAGATCTCTGCCCTCAGGGAGCTCAACTCCAGTAGACCCAATAGACAGTGAAGCCCACAAGTAAGTGTTTTACAGCTCATGACAGACGCCACGGCAGAGATTAATGGTGTCGTGATGGTGGGGCGAGGGGAGGTGCCTGGAAGGCCTTCCTCAAGCTCCAGCCTCGAGAATGGGGGTTCTGGAGAGGAGGCTCCCACCCTGGGAGCAGTGAGCACTAAGGCTAAGGCAGGAAGAGCCTGGGGTGTTCTAGAACCTGCCAGAAGGTAGAGAGGGCTAGACACACCAGCAGGTGGGGGGCTTTGGAGAGGACGGGACAGTTGACAGAAACCTGAAGGGGAGGGTGTCACAAGACAAGGTTCTGGATTTGGAGGCCAGAAGGCGACGGGCGGGGTGCAGCTGTGGGGCGTGGCTTGTGTGAAGAGATGACAGGGGGCGCTGCGGAGGAACCTTTTGGGGTTGCGAGGGTGAAATGATTCTCGTCCTGTCTGATTTCCCACACTGCATCCCGTCTTCCTCGTCCTGGTCCAGAAATGACATTTGCTCTAGGGGTATGTGAGTCTTCTCTGAGGTTGGGGTCCTGACTGTGTCTCCGGTTCTAGGCTGTGTGTTGAACCAGCTCCAAAGCCAGTGCTGCCCTGGGAGTCCATTACTTCCTTTCCTTGGAATGAACCCGTTATGAGTTACTTACTCCGATGATTCATTATACGGTCTCATGTGGGCATGTGCTGGTTCTCTAGCAGCCAGCAAAAGACACTGCCCTGCTGATTCATTCTCTGCTGTTTCCCCTTCTCCTAGAATGGCCATTCAAGTGGACAAGTTCAACTTCGAGAGTTTCCCAGAATCCCCTGGGGAGAAGGGACAGTTTGCAAACCCAAAGCAACTGGAGGAAGAGCGGCAGGAAGCCCCCGGCCTGGAGATCGACAGCAAGCTGGACGTCCACTGGAGAATCATATCCTTTTCACAGTGGCCGCCTTGGCGCTCGGTGCACCCTGCTTGGGGCTTCTGCCCACTGAGAATTACCCCAGGGGGCCTTCACCACTGGGTGCTAGGCACACAGAGCTCAGAAAGGGCATGCCAAGGAGATATGGACCATGGGTGTCCTTCCTCCGCCCCTTCCTGGTCCCAGGGCCCCACCCACAAGGTGTGGATTCAGGGTGAGGAAAGGCCGCCTCCCTGAAATGTCTTGGGTCACGTGTTTCTTGCCAGTGTTGATGTTTGTGTTAATGACACGTTCTCACGCCAGCCTGTCATTGCTGGGCTTGGGGAGCGTCACAGAGTGTTGACAGCTCAACACAGGACGCAGTTGTCTGGGAAAGTGGAGTCGCGTTGCGCCGCTCCCCGAGGCACCAGAGTGTTTGAGGAAGGGTGGTGCTGCACAAGAGCGCCTGGCACTGGACAGGCCCCATCCTGGACTTGACAGCACACCAGAATCCCAGGTGCACTCGTGTGTGCTCGGCTGGCTTACAGAGCCCCTGCTTTGGGTGGGGTATTCTGCGAGGCACCCGAGAGGCCGAGGGGGAAGGAGGAGGCCTCCACACGGCTTCCTGGCCTCATTGGGCATGGCTGTGCCTGCCAAGGGTTCAGTGCACCTCAGGGGCCGGGCAGAGCGTCGTGTCGAGTCTGCGAGGTTCAGGGGAGGAAGCTGCGGGTGCAGGGCAGTCAGGGAAGGCTTCACAGAGGGGCTTATGTTAGGGGGGCTTCTGTAGGGTGAGGGATGCCCTAGAGGTCCCAGGGTGTAAGAGGATAGCTCATGTGGAACGTCTCCCAGGAAGAGGCAACTCTGATGTGGAGGTCTTGGTCGCCTTGTTCACATGTGGGTCTTGTGCTGTGTGGTGTCAGGTCATCCTGGACCATCTCTCGGGATTCTGGAAGGATCCTTAGTCTGCAGGGGGCAGTTTCCAGGAGTTGAGGCTCATTCCTTTGTGTACACTAAAGAGAATCTTGGGCTGGTAGACCCCCATGCCCAAGGAGCTGGGACAGAATAAGTACTTCCCATGTTAAATTGGAGGATTGGGGAACCAGACGTTTAAAACCTGTGCCTGGGAGACTGTGCACGACAGCGGCCATCACGGAGTTCAGGCATTTGTCTTTGTACAGCGGGATGTGAGAAGGAGGGATGACTGGAGTCCTCCCTCTCTCGCTCCCCGCCGACAGCCAGTGCTCGCTGCTGGAATGAGCAGAGTGGTGGAGCCCAGAGGGAAGCAGTGTTCACCCTGCGCACAGTCCCACTGTCTCCTTTACTCCTTCTGCTTCTGACTGGTACTCTCGTTCCGCTGGGGGGAGTTGAGCTGAGTCCCCGTGAGCCCAGCCGGGACGTGGTAGGGCCGGCTGCCCAGGGGGGTTGCAGGCAAAGCACCGTTCCCAGCCCTGACATCAGGGAGGGTCGAAAACCTCTGTCCTGTTGGGGGACAGCAGAAGGCCCATGGCCCTCCTGTCCTGGTATCTGTGGTCACGATGCTGAAGCTGGGGGGACTGGGGTTGGAGAGGTTCTGTAAACTCTGGATGTGCAAGTCTCCCTGTGAGGTAGGAGATTCCCTGCTCCTGGGCCTCAGGGCCTTTGCTTCGCACAGGGAGCTCTGTGCAGAGCCAGGGGGCCTGGTTGTGAATGAGTTGCCTCAGCCCCATGGAGGAAGAGGCAGTGTGTTTGGGGGGCCCAGCAGGAAGGCATCCGTCCTCCTGAGTGGTCTCACTCTGGGTACAGATAAGAATAGGAAGCCTCAAAAGGGGGGGTTTGCGCCCCTGCCTCCCCTCGTGCCAGGGCCACCGTGGCACCTGCTGCAGACATGCCTGCGACTTCCTAGGTGCCGGCCCTGGGCTGGCCCTGGTCATTCACCACGGTGGATGGCTCAGCTGCCCCGTCTTGGAGATGACGGCCGCCAGTAAGTGCGGGCACGGGCTCCTCCCAGAAGCCCTGGGCGGGGATGTGCTGCCTTCTAATGGGGTGATGCTGACCCTCGAGATACTTATGTTCTCTGAAAACAATGGCCAAAAATGTGCCAAAAATATCTTTGAGTTTCTCTTGTTTTAGCTTTGCCTTCTTTACAAGGTTGGCATCCCTGTTTTCTGTATTGGCTTAATAATTCATGTGACAAATATTTACTGTTAACCATGTGCCAGGCACATCTGTCTCCTGAATGTACTGATTGGAAGTTTTTGAGAGACTGTACCTATAGGCGGATTCGATTAAAGAGAAAGAATATTAAGGATCTCTCTCTCTCTCTCTCTCTCACATCTGGCAATGACATCTGGCATGGGATGAATAGCAGACTTTTGCTCTTGTAAACCTGGATCCAAGCAGATGGAAAGACCAAAGATTGAATTGGCTAATATTTTATTATGCATTTTGGTAATATTTTCACTTTATACAAAGATTTGAGCCTAATTTGACACTCACCTACAGTAATAAAAATGGACCATAGGTAGCATGTAGGGCTGGATAGATATGTTTCCGTGGGAATTGTGGATCCTGCATTAGATGCAGGCTCACCTGTCTCCGTCATGTCTACAATGACCAGATGAGCAGCTGGGGACGCCCGGAACTGCAGCCCCACTGTTTACCTGGATAACGAGCGCTCATGTGCTGGGCCCTGGACATGCCCCCAGTCCAAGGGAGAAGACTCAGAGATGGGTACTTACAGCGCAACCTGGAAGGGCTGAGGCAGGATCCTTCCCGAGTGAGGGCTGGCACGTTGCAGAGCTGTTCGTTCCCTGTGACTGCTAACACAGCACGCAGACCAGAGAGGTGGTGGGATCCAGGGGCCTCCCTTCCACCCTCCCTCCTTCCTCCCTGCCTCTCACCTCCCCCTTCCCCTACCTGCCATCCTCAAAGATCTGTAGGAAGCTCTTTCTCCTGCGTTTCCTCTTCCTTACCGCCAACCTGAGCCTGGTCATTTTTAAAGGGACTTTTCCCCCTCGGCAAGAGGGCCCGGCAGGTGTGTAGCGTCTGTGTGGATTTCTGGGGGTGGGAGAGTGGCCTGCACAGGTGGCACCGGGCCCAAGAGCCGGGCTCGTGTGACCGACATCGGTGCTGTCCGCATGAACACAGCCTTGCCTCCCGCGGCCCAGCACAGTCCCCACTCCACCTTCTTCCCTGCTAGCTACCGCCAGTGGAAGGTCTTTACTGAACTTGGGAAACCTTGACATAGCCGACTTTGTTGTTGGCAGATACTGGCTGTCCACGTGTAATCCAGAAAATACCTGTGTTTGGCTTTAGGATGCTGCACGGTTGGGGTCAGAGCCCGGGGTCTGAAGGCCCAGCTCTGCTGCTTCCAGTGTTCCCGTGGGGAGGCTGTGGCCTGAGGGCCCCGTGTCCCCCTCTGTTCAGCCAAGGTGAGAACAGCTACTCCAGTTTGCTGTTAGGGTTAGTTCTCACAATCCTATTTGCCCTTTTGATCACCTGCCAGGTGTTAACCAGGATCTTCGCATTTTTCTGACCCCAAACTGGCAAAACTGATAGTACTCTGGTTTGAAAAACAAGTACATTTTGGGAGTTAAAAAACTTACCTGAGCTAACATAGCCAGGATCCCCAAACTCATGTTCTTTTGCTACTGACTACTTGAAGTGAGGCCCCATGGTCCGCATGTAACCCTAGCTCCTAACCCTAGAAGGTGTTTGCACGGAGAGCCCCCTTTCCTGCCAGCAGAAGCGGAGCTGCTTCCAGGACCTGGCTCGGAGGAGGCTTATCCTGCACAGAGGTCTGTGGGCCAGGCCTCAGCCGTGTCCCCACCTCCGCCTCTGATTGAACCTGTCGCCATTGGTCCAGGATTGTAGTTCTGAGAACCCCTCAAAGTAGCTGGTTCTGGGGTGGCTGGAGATTGGCCATGTCTATATCCACTTTCCACTTGTAATTCAGAGAGGAGAGTCCACCAGGGTCTGACTGAGTCTTCCTCATCCTTGGTGCATCTCCTATCTCCCAGGGAGCCCACTCTGTCACTGACCTCTACCTCTTCCACCTCGCCCGGCCGGAGCTGACCCTTCCCTTGGCCTCCTGCAACACTCAGTGCCTAGCTGTCATTTGTTACAGTCTTTACCAAGTACGGAAAAGTTCATTTTTTTCCCAAGTTCACTGCCCCCTTGCTAGGCTGCACTGTTCTTGAGTCCGTGCTGTGTCCTGTTCCTTTAGCAGCTACTTACTGATAACCTGCCGTATGCTGGGCTTGTGCTAGGCACCGGGGACCTCCGTGATGAGCAAAATCAGGTGTGGGCCCTGCCCTGATAGAGCGTGCTCCTTTCCTGGCCCCAGTGCTGCGTGTAATCCCCCGGCATGTAGGTATTAAAACCATTTGGTGAATGCATAGCTTCCATCTCATCGATGGAGCAGACTGAAAGGTTGCTGGCTTAGTTGCACTATGCCGAGGGTTGTGGTGAATATGTGAAGGGAGTTTTAATGAACAAGATTCGTCTTATTGGAAGCCTGGCTCCTTTTCCAGAGGGCAGCCATGCACAGACGATCTGTGCTGGAAACAGATGAAGGATAAGTGTGGAGCAAGCTCGGTGTCATCTCACATTCTCATTTTCCTTGTTTTTATTGCAAATCTCCCTCCAAAGAGCATTTCAGGGGTTGGTGAGATACTCGCTGACATATCAGAATCCAACCCCGGGTAGGTTTCATGGCAAGAGCTGTGCGCACAGTTCAGCTGATCCCTGTAAAGGCCAGTGATCCGGACCATCTGGGCAGCATCTCCGCCAGGTGGTCTGATAAGCACGTGTCTCCTCTGTTCTGTCTGGAGACTCTTTGGAACCATCTGGCTGCTTTGAGGGCCAGGTAGAGACTCAAGGAGCCTAACTGCAGGCTGGGTTTTAGATGCCTAAGGACTGATGGCCCAGAGCTGGAGATGGAATATCTTTGCAGCACGCAGAGGTCACTTACATGCAGGTAACTAGAACATGGAAGGACACGGAGCAGGGTAGCTGTTCTGAGCGCAGGGCCGTGTGTCTGGAGCAGGCTG